ATGTTGTAAGGTGTATGGTGTGTATGTTGTAAGGTGTATGGTGTGTATGTTGTAAGGTGTATGGTGTGTATGTTGTAAGGTGTATGGTGTGTATGTTGTAAGGTGTATGGTGTGTATGTTGTAAGGTTTTTGGCATCTTAGAACGTACATCATTCATTAGATGACTACTATATGTGCAGCTCATGAGTCCAGCACAGTAACTGCATGTTAATTCTCGCAGACACTTAATTCATTATTCAGAAGAACTCAATAGGAAACACGGAGCTGGAGCCCAGAAGGATGCGATATAACCTGCGCTGGCCTCTCAGGTCATGGCAGCGGCATCATCTGCTGCTGCTGGTGGCCCTTTTTTCATAGCACCCCGTTTCTGGCTTTACTTTGTATCTCGCATATAAGAACAGAAAAGGAAATATTCTAAGATAAATGTCTAGTATCTAGTAAGCTAAGTATATTTCTTTCAGTCACATTCACAGAAAGCTAACACCTTAGCCATTTACCTAGAAATGACATACCCGAACATTTTATAAATACCCATGCATTTATTACTAATTATACAGTATAAAGAATCAAATTTACTTTTAGTAAGAAAATGAGTATCTAACGGCAATCAGGAACCTGGCTATAGTTTGCCGACTGTCCATCATAATGTACATCCATTTAGACGAAGTGGTCTACAAGTACAAAGATGTCACATATCCAGTTGTATGAACTTTATAAATTGAACATATTTCTTTGTCTAAAATGAGGACTACGTTTGTTTTACTACCGGTCATTCTTAGGGCTAATGTGATGAGTTTCTAATTACGACGAGTAATAATCTGAAATAAACCTTTCTGTATAGTTACCCCACCACAGTAATATTTCTGAAGACATTCTCTTGTCGCATTGTTTTTCTAAATACGTTTGCCATACACTACACATATCAAACCGATAAACTTGCACATAACTCTTTATACCGCAAAATTGGGGTAAAGTATTTTTACAAAAAAATACAAAGCTTCACCTGTTCCCTTACAATGTTGCATGTGGGATCTTGTAACAGGCCATGGAATTAATTTGCACCAGTTTAAATAGTAAACATTATCTTAAGGTCATTTTAATGCAACTAAGTCGCCATATGAATAGCGAAGACTATCTACATGTATAGCCTATATACCAATGTCATAGCAATATACAAAAGGAGAAAGGGAACAATCCTGATTCACGTGAGATGCAGCTGAATTTAATCGATGCTTGTCGCCTTTTAGTGACAGCATACAATACAGAGAATATTATATGTGTGATTTATGTTTTGACAAGGCTCCCTACACGGCGCTCGAGGAAGATGCTGACAAGTGTTTAAAAGCCTGGCGTTTGTTTGCATGCGTGTTAATAGGAGCTGCTGTATAGGGAGGCTGGGCTTTTGCTGCAATCGCGTGTGCAGCGGATGTAGTGCGAATAATACAAAAAAGTACTTCAAGGCAGCGGCACAGCGCAGCGCACAGTAGATGCCGGAGCGACGTTTTAGAAGCTTGGCGTGGGTAGCCTCGATATATTTAGGTTTCCAGTATACATGTCATAGTATTTAAGGTCGTTAGGGGGAAATGTATATTTTGCTATACAGGAGTGAATAACCTGCTATTGTTAGGAAGCTCTGAGCGGCGATGGTAATTTTTCTTCAATAAAAACAACTGCGATCGCTGGAATTATAAACGCCTTGAGGATATGAGCAGCGCGGATCCGGCGTCTGCCAAACTGCTGAGTTTCACCCAACGGTAAATCAACATGTTATGTTATCCGTTCTTGATTTAACTCTACGGCATACAAGCAAAGTGATGCATTTGTGCATAATGCTGTTTAATTGCATGGGGACTGAGGCTGTGTTTCACATTATCATGAGTCAAACGGATATTCGTAGAATGTTTTACCAGCATAAACACTTTGGTAATTATGGTTATATTTAATGCCTCTATTTTACTCCCTTATTATACAAAGTATATATTGTTTCTTTGAAGATCTTTCATGCATATTGCCGTTTGAGCGATTGTATAGCAGTAGTGGGCTTCTATTTGAATTGTATGAATTAGTGATACGTAACTGCCTAGATAATTATAAATGCGGCAGCCTCTTGGGTTTCGGTTGTACGGGTGCACTGGATGACTTTTTTTTCCCTAACACGTATTAAGACAGATATGGTCAAATTACGGCAAATCATCATGTACACCATTTTTTTACAAGACACGTTTACTGTGGCTCTCTTGGTTACATCTGTTGGTGGTGTCGATCGAGGGGTCATCGCCTTTTAGTGTCCTTCGTTTGAAAGGCACAATGTTATATTCAAAATTTAATTTTTATCAGGCAATGCATAATGAGGTAAGCGTATTTGACAGCATGTTTCAGAACCAGAGAACTGATCCGTCTGTATTACGAGTATTGTGAAATTTAAACCGAAATATCAAAACTTAAATATCCAGTCAGTCTAAAACTGTGCCAGGTACAGCTGGTGAATACTAGAATAGTCACGGAAAATTGATTAATAATGTATTACAATATTCAGTTCAACGTGGAGTGGTGCTGTCTGCGCTCAAAGTGCATGTCGTCCCTGTTCACTCTTCAGGCTCTTAACGCCGCCAAGACCTGTTACCGTGAGCATGTTATGCGCTATGAAAAATTGGTAATCGTTACAACAGAGCATTTCTGGTATCTTGAGAAGCAATTTACCAGCATTAAAATGAATCATATAAAATACTCTTATTTAGATGTAACTGTCAAGTTAGCCTATATAATGATTTTAAGTTGTAAGTAGAATAGTACAGTGATCGTAAGTGCTGAATGGGGAGCTGTTGTTCTACAAAAATAAGAGCCGCAGTTTTCTTTGAGGTGTCTTAGAGATCCTCAAAGGCACCATTGCTCTGCTAGCTAGTGCCACCGCAGGGACTTTGGCACATCCAGACATTCTGACAGATGTTACCAGCTCTGCGTATTAAGTTGGAATTAGTGGGCTTTTTACCGGCAGCTATCAATCTTTCGTTAAGCAAGGCTGTGTCTCCTGTTAAAATGCGGGTTTACAAAAGACAGGCTTGATGTAAAATTTCTGTACCTTTAGCCGTATGGTTTTCAAACCATTCATTCGTTCTTTCATTCGTTCGTTCATTCATTCATTCACTTGTACTGTAAGCTACCGTATATGCGCAGGTTTTGTGAAGAATAATCGTTGGTGTTGTAGTATAGATCTTCCCAGAAAAGCCTTCCCCCACCATATACCCCACTCTTGTGAATCAGGATTGTGGAGCCTTCTCTGATTGGATGGAGAGAAGATGTAGATTTCTATAGGCTGCCTGTTATAGGTCGCCCAAGGGAGCAGATGTTTGACTTCTCCCCTTGTTAAGATGAGTGGGATTAGAACATTGACACGAAGCAGCATTACAAGAGCAGACAGGACATGGCAGGGCAGCCTGAAGGAGCACTCACAAGTGGACAATAGTAGGCATTTCCGCTGCACTCAACTTTCTGAGTAGTAAAGGATCAATAATTGTACTAATAATTGTATCTATGCTGTGGACTTACCTATATACACATTTCTGCATGTTTCTCTTGTACATATCAAACAAATGAACATATATTACTTGAGATTATTGCAAATCTTACTCTGTTTTGGTGAGAAAGTAAGGGCTCCTCAAAGATGCAATTATTAATGATGGAATGAACTTCTTAAAGTTTAATGTAGCATGAAAACTATCTTAATGGGAGGTTGCTTGTATCCACACAATGAAAACTGATTTCTGCTAAATATTCAAACTTTAATATATATTTCTACTTCATTTGCCTAGTGTTTACGTAGCAATTGTGTGACAAACTTTACTTTTTGTAAGGGAAAGGGATTTTAATCTGAACAGGGGGCAGAGCAATGCCGCAAAGCCCAGACAGTGAAGTCATATTAAAAGATGAATGTCATCCATAATGAGAAAGACACTAGCTAGTAGATGGCATCTATCACAAAATGAGTTTGTGCTTAATTCTATCAAGGCCTTCATCTCAGCTGTGATGCCGGGTAATGCAGACAGTATGCAGTCAGCCCGTCATGCAAGACAGAGCATGCTGACCGAAGATGGGAGATAAGGCTTGAAACCACTTCCTTAATTACCCCCCTCCCCCCCCCCGCTCACTGCCCACACCTGCCCGCTTTGGGCCCTGGCATGACAATAATGATCCAAACCAACGATGCCTTTGTGTTTCAGCTCTGCCTCGGAGGATTTGGGCTGCAGGCGAGGGGAATTTAGCCGGAAGCATTATGGATCTGTGGAACTGGTGAGTCTGTCTTCTCGCCTGTCAGATTTGGTGACGTCTGTGACATGGGTGGAGAGTCCTGGTGGCGAAAGTAGGCCTCTCTGGGTGGAGATCCCCAGTGGGGAGTGGAAGCCTCTCTGGTTGGAAGCCCTGGCGGGGGAGGGGGCTCTCTGGGTGGGGGCCCCGGTGGGGAGAAGAGGCCTCTCTGGTGGGAGCCAAACCCTCTTCTTTCACACATAGCTTGATGTGCTTTTCCTTTTTTACTTTTCTGTGCAAAGCAGCAAAGGTGTCAAGAAAATAGTGTTGTGATGTCATATGGTGTGAGTTTCCACGCAAAAAATAGTTCCACTAATGGTTCCACTAACTATTAGAAGTTCAACAGTTCACAGTGGTAAAATGAAACTGAAATCTTTTGATGTGACAGATAAACCTTTCTGTATTTCCTAATTACAATTCTACCTGGTTTTCATATGGGGGTGGTCTAATCACAAATCTTCTAACAAATTAGGGTGAATTTACATTTTGCTGTTTTGGATCTTTGCTTAGTCGTAGTGCTCAAAGATGTGTGTGCGTGTGTGCAGGTAACCACAATGCTGTCACTGTTGTGATCCGCGTTCGGACGAACAGGCAGGGATCAGGAAATCAGGAGCAGGCAACGGAAAGTCAGGAATACGGGGTTTATTACAAACAACAGAGGAACCACACACGACAAACGTCAATGACAGATCTGGGGAAACTAACTCAGATGCAGACTAAAATACACAGGACAAGCCGAAAATAACAGGCAACAGGTGATCACAATCGGGAATTAACACGAGATAACGAGGGGGGCGTGGCACACAGGAGGACTGGACGCGCAGGTCATGACAGTCACTACTTGTCCAAAGCAGAATGTGGCTTTTATTGATGATTTGTAAATTGTTACCACTTGCTACATATAAGTAGATGTACTCTGCTGCATACAGATAAATTACAGATATTTTGGTTTTGTCTTGTGGTTACTAAAAAAAAATTAACAGTGAACTGGCAAACTTGTATAGGCCTAGCATTTGTACATCCAACTACTGGAAACCATAGCATTTGGGGAAGATATACAGTCCATCTTCTCAGGAAGTTTCTGGAAAGGCCAGCTAACAGGAATCTATTCAAACACCACTGCTTAGCCTTAAGGATCAGCAACATGAATTCCAAAAGGAAAGGTAGTGAAGATCTCATGGTGACCATTTTGAATTGCTTTCCTGTTGATGTTTGCAGTTAAACACCTCATTCAGGCTTCCCCTGAATTTCCAAGCCAAGACACATAAAGACAGCAATTCTTGCCAGTGGCACCTTCAAGTTTGTGCCGCATTATTGGCAGAAGGCAGATGTTTGATTTACAGGTGATGCATTTATGTCTGCTGCATGTCAGATTGGAGTAAAACATAGAATGACCTGAAAATTATAATAGAATAGAATAGAATACAATAGTGACACTTTATTTATCCCTGGGGGGAAAATTTCTTGTTTCCGAAGGCTGTGCGTATCGTCTTGCTCTCCATGAGACACACAGACACATATACAGGTCAGAGTATGTTTGGGGGTCACAGCACTGGGTCGGACAGTGTCCAGCACCCCAGGAGCAACTAGACCATACAAAAATTATCAGGTTATTCTCAGAATGCAAATTTACACACCTAGGATGTGCCTAGGGATTGGCAGATCTAGATTGGCAGATCTACATTATCCGACTGCGATACACAGCTGACCATACCGATACAGATTCCGATACAAGAGCTGTTTTTACTTTAATATTTTAATAAAATAAATGTGTTTATAATATATATTTATACTTTATATATTATTAATTTATAACTAGTAAATTCAGATGAAAACGTTTGCCAAAAAATCTTTAATTAGGCTACTACAACTACTGTTCCACCTCATTCGTACATCTTGTTTTAAGTGTTTTTGAGGCATTTTGCTGTTCAATTTGAACTTCTTCCAAGCGAGGATACGCAAGTGGCATATTGCTTAAAATGCCCCACATTTTTTCTCCCACTGGTAACAGAGTCACTTACACTTCACTGCGATACCAGCCACCCCAGTATCACAAGCTGTAGCGACTGCGCAGAACAACCTAAGCTGGCGAGTCCCAAATCATCCATAGCTTTTTCATATTACTCACATTGTCTCGCACAATTTCGGGCACTTTGTTTAGTGAAATTTTTCACTAAATGCTGCTTCCAACTCCCAAACCTTTGTTTTTATAAAGATTGCAAATCGCTGTGCTACTACTTGTTAAAATAGCAAAATACTTCTAGATCGTCTTGTTCTTATTTGATGTTCTTACGCTCCTCGTACTACAAAGGGTATGAATGTGACGTCACTGTACATTGGCAAAAATGTATCTAAAATAAGAAAGAGATGTCGTACTGCTGATTATACAAATCGATTTAACAAGAAATAGGAACTATCTTTTTACACACTGTCGAAAACTAAATAAGTAAGTATCGGACGTGGATTGATCACATATATGGCCAATACCTAATCCAGGTCTGGATTGGTGCCAATACCAGTCTGAATATCGGATTGGTGTCCCTCTGGCTGTGCCATTGTCCATGTAATTATCCAGTTTGAATATGATCCAGGCTTCACTGGCCTCGTTCGAGCATTTTCTCTGAAATTTTATACATGCTTGGCGGTTTTGAGCTTCTTTCTGTATGTTGCGATGAGTTGGATCACTAGAAGGTTTGAGCTTCTCAGGAGGACAGGAAATTGAAGGCTATGCGTTCCTGATTGTAAAGTAGCAATAGTCCAGGGTTTTTTGTGGTGGAGTATTGTGTTTTGTAATTATTTGTGTTATTTTGAGGGTGTATTCTAATTTCTAACCAATATATTGGATGCACGTTCCCATGGTAAATCGAAAGGTCTGCAGTGAATGAAGGTGGTTTCTGAATGAGGAGAGCATGGCTTGGACAGGACAGTAACATTGTTGCACCATCTTGTTTGATATAAACGCATACCCCATTCATAACTGCTTCTATTCTGAACAACAGGAGACAAGGCAGTTCCACAGCTATGCTGGGAACCAGCCTGTTTACCTCTTATCCCGTCACGGCGTGTGTGTGGTGAGTTCTGCTGCAGTGTTTCAGATGGTGTAAATATTACTCTGGGACCCAAAATGGGTGAGAGCGTGTTCCATATGTTAAGGTGTTTCTTCCGGGAAAAAGTAATCTGAATATTTTCACAGTTAACAAGGTTGACAAACAAAAAACAAAACAAACAAACACCATAGTGTTTTGTTTCCAGAACCTTCAGTATGTTGATGTCACAACACTTCTAGCAGAAAATGAAGGTGATATGATGAAGTTTATATGGAAAGATAAAGAACAGAGTAGGTGGGGCTACATCTAAATGTGAGGAAAACAAAGGTTTGGTCACCAGAATGACAGTTAACTTTATAGTTGATAGTGAATATACACCAATCAACACCCCTTTGTGCCACCAAAACAACTGTGACTCATTGAGGCATGGACTCCACAAGACCTCTGAAGGTGTCCTGTGGTCTCTGGCACTTAGACGTTAGCAGCAGATCCTGTAAGTCCTGTACCTTACGAGGTTGGGGCCTCCATGGATCGGACTTGTTTATCCAGCACATCCCACAGATGCTTCATCAGAATGAGATCTTGGAAATATGATATTCAAATTACAACAATTTATGCAGACTTCTGGGGGTGGAGGGCGGAGCCTGTACCATAGGTTGCAAGGCTGGGTTATGCCTGGGACAAGATGCCAGTCACATAAACATACACAGTGACACACTAAGTGCAACTGCACAGCGCCCATTGCACAATGGCCTTTGCATCACAGTAAAATATGAAATATCAGGCAAAAGACCGCAATCATTCATTAAAGGGGCAAATTACATCTAAAGAAGGAAATTAAATTCAGGAAATATTTACAGAAAAATAAATAAAAGATTTACTCATCAGCACTGCCAGATTAATTACACAGCTGCAAAGTAGGCATTGGGGTGATATTGCATCAGTGAGTTGGTGCTGATTATTTAGAATGTCAAGGTAGAGAATGTGCCTTCAGCTGACCTACAGAAGATTAACGGAATTTCTTTTTTGTCCAACAGAATGCACTGTAGCATAGGCTTAAAGGAGGCTTACTGAACAGAAACATGCTCACGGTAAAGCAGAGCCCAGCATTAAAACAGACACCAGTGCTTCCATACATTTTTCTGATGCTACTGCCATATTTACTGAAGCTGTTTTATGTATTAGCTTGCTCTGGCTTTTTTTTTCCTTAGAAGCCTTAAAATTAGAAATTTTCAGCAGAATTTAAGCATATTAAGCAGAATTTCAGAAATTTTGTAGAAGAGATTTATAATATGAAGTTAAGTATTTTAATTGATCAAGCATCATAATGGACTTTTTATTTTAATTACATTTAAAATGTGCTGCGTTACTTGACTTCTTTTTTTTGTTCCAGTGTAATAACCCATATATGTTTCGCACTATCAGTGACTGGTGGAACCAGTTACTCTGATTGATTTGCACAGGCAGTTTTATTAAGAAACACTTTCAACAACCACTTCGGTTTCCCAGAGGAGGGGATTTTGCAGCGCTCGCGTCAGAGCCGAGTCTTGGTGAACGTATTGGCTGGCAGTACAGCCAATCGGCACGCTTCATCCTGACAGCAGAGTGCCTAGTGTGTCCTGGCAATATTATTATAGCCATGGAACCTGGATGTAGCGGTCAATCAGAGCTAATTGCAAAGGCTTAAAAAGCATATTGTGTCGAGGGCTAACCATGTTCCTGAAAGCTTGTTTGCAGGGGAGCTTTTCTAAGCATTCCTGCAGCAATGCATGGACTCCTTCATCATCACTATTGCTACATGCTTTTCTGTTCATTTCCTGAACAGAACACAATGTTTGGCGAGTCATAGTGTGTAATGGGGGCCATTGCTATTGCTGGAACATTATCTGTGGTATATTTGTTTCAAGATTCAAAGATATAAAATACAAATGGGAAGCG